AAAAAAGAAAAATAATAATAATAAAATAATAATAAAAAGTAATAGGTTCAATTTGTTTTTGAAATAGGAATTTCTAAATAATTGGATAAAATTCCGTGATGTTCAACCTTCACCGCCACCATATACCGCTTCGAGATTAAATCCAGAAATTGAACTTGCTGTATGTAAAATGAGTTACATTTATTCTTGAACAAATTTACAATATTCACAATATCTTTGTTGAATAAAGTTCCGTCAAGATACACCTTCACCCACATCTACTGTTGGACCATGGCCATCTTGTAGTCGTATAAAACGAAAAGGTAATAAAGTAAATCGATTCCAGTATTCATAATATATTTATTAATCAATATAATTTATTTAATAACGTTAACAAATAGCATCAGATGATCGATTTGAGCCATATTTCAATCCAAAACGACGTGCAGTTTCACCAAGTTTAGTCGGTAGTCCTCCTGTTGTCTCGGGACTTTCATCACCAACTATTGGCTCACCATCTTATTCTTCATGTGCAACTGGTTTATCTAGTAGCTGTGGAGTAGGTGGAAATAGTAGCACGCCAACATCAAAGGGACAAATCAAAGGAAATAGTGGTTTGGCCAATATTCATGATGCCAACGGAAGTTTTAGTAGAATGAATTTAAATGGAGAGTAAATTTTTCGTGTACATAAATTTCAAATTGTGTTTAAATAATAAAATCTATTTATATATATTATTGTGTCAAATTACACATGAAAATCATTATTTTAAATCTTCAATGTCATGTAAAAAATTTTTTTAACATCATAAAATGATTACAAATTGAAAAATTATTTTATAGTCATGTTCCTTAATTTTTCACTTTCTCCGTTAGCTCTGGAACAGCTTGGAATAAATCAGCAACAAGTCCATAATCCGCAATCTTTCAAAAGTGAAATAAAATTAATATTATTCGATAAAGTTTATATGCTTGACGTTTGAATAGATACCTGGAATATTGGGGCCTCGGCATCAGTATTGATTGCTACTATCATTTTACTATCCTTCATTCCCGCTACGTGTTGGATTGCGCCGCTAATGCCAACAGCCAAATATAATTCTATAATAAAATATTTTGAATATTTAATGTACTAATAGATCCTTAAGTAAATGAACGAATGGAAACAGTATACCTGGAGCGACAACTTTTCCCGTTTGCCCCACCTAATGTGCGTAATATTCAGTATGAAACTATTATGATATTTAATTTCACATAATGATCAGACATGTAATATACCTGTAGTGCATTATCACAATAACCTGAATCAACAGCAGCTCTTGAACCACCAACTAAAAAAAGAAATCAGCAAGCATATATGCTTTAATACATATCAAAAAAAAAAAAAAAAGGCGAAAGAAAGGTTTATCAGCAGCCCCAAGTGCGTCAGCAAGGCCATAAATTAATTTGTCGAAATTTTCACGATTTTTTAATGCTCTACCCCCAGACACAACTCTTGTTGCAGTTCCAAGCTCAGGACGATCACCTTTTTGAAGATCTTCACTAATCCATTCAGTCATTGAAGGTTTTTCAGCATCTGGTGCCACTTCAATAGCAGCATTATTGCCAGCTACATTAGAAGGAGGAAACGCGGTTCCTCGGACAGTAATAACTTTTGTAGGATCTTTTGACTTTACTTTAGAGATAGCATTTCCTATTAAAAATTGGAATGTTTCGTCTTTACCATTAATCAAACATGATTGATCATATTTATTTGTTAATTAGACATCTCATACCAGCATAAATCGGCCTTATAAAAACGTCTGAGGATTCAATATCAATTATATCAGAAATTTGTGCAACATCTAGTAAAGCAGCGACTCGGGGCATAATATTTTTGCCAAATGCTGAATGAGGAGCTACCAAATGAGTAAAATTAAACTTCTTCTGAGATGTAACCAGTAGCGGAGCGTATACTTCCGCAAGACCATGTTCGTAAAGTTTGTGTTTAGCTACGAGTACCTTGGATATACCGGTGATCGTTGAAATTTCAGAAGCGACATTGTCTGGCTCTTCACCTGCCACAAGGGCTGTTACCTCACCTCCTAACTTAGTAGCAGCAGTGAGAGAATTGAAGGTAGAGGAGGCGATAGAATTACCATTGCGTTCGACCAAAAGAAGTGTAGATATATCTTGAGCGCTTGCAAAACCGCGAGCGAAAAAACCAGGACGAAGCTAAGAAAACACGTTAGATACTATAGATACTAACTTTTAAGACTTTGCATTGTTAACGTTTATGTGAAAAATAGTTTGGTACCGTCGTTAGTGAATTTTTAAAGGCGGTTTGTGAAACTACTCTTTGAAAAGTAGATCGCAACATAATTTAATGTGCTCTAGCACTAGCGCTAGCGTTAATTAAGTATTTATTAAATCAATTTTATTTTAGTTCTAATTTTTAATCTCTAATTTTATTCTAATTTTTAACCCTAACCTTAAAGATTGGCAACAATTACTTTAAAAAATTATATGGTGTTAAGCATCAATAGTGATTTATAATTATTGTTTTAAATATAGTTAACTTTTTATATATAGATTTATAGATTTTAATTAGAGATGTTATCCTGCTTAAAATGCTCAAATCTGCTTAATGAGATTTGCTCATTATTACTATG